TATGGTCCAAGTGAAAGTCATCGACACCTTTTTCTTGGTAGATCATGCCATCAAAGGTCTGAGTCTAGGTCTACCAAGGCCAAGATTCTGCCTGAGACCGTCTTCGACTCACACGAGATTCAGTAGTCCCGCTGTACCGAGCTCATGAGGTGTCCGAAAGACCCTCATAAATCACTTGTGCGCATTGCGCCCAGTGCGGAGTGTGCAACTAGACCAGCGACTATGGTCAAAACTTGCTTAGGGGCCTTTCCCAACAGAGGAAACACAACATTGGCATTTGCAGTGAAATGTGACGTGGTGGAAGCATTGAGACCCGTTGGCTTGACCATGCAGGGTTGCTGTGGTGCACCCAAGCACAAAAGTCACTTTGGTGCAGAGAATTGAAGAGCATTGCTGGCGTCTGTGGTGCAAGGTGCCAGGGTGGGCCTTTCTGGCGTGGCTTGACCACTTGCCCACCCAAGCTTGGTACTAAACACTGTGTCAATCATTGCAAGTGGGAAATCACCAGTGTGGCAGTTGACTTTCACAATCATTGGAAGAGATCATGCCCGCGGCACATTGAACTCATGCACATCAACGGTGTCATTGAATGAGACCTTCCGCTCAGATGGCAGCTTGATGCCCCCTTCATCCGTGAGCACAATCTGCGAGATCTGCGACTCTTCCATCATCTCGGTGCTGTCCACACTGCACACTGCTCCCATCGCGCCAAGTTTGGACGATCGGACTTGCAAGCAAAGCTGAGCCAAGAATGCTGGATGTTTGGACGATCGACCAAGATTGACCAATATGACAGCTGATAGATGTCATTATATGTCCGCCTCGCTGTGCTTGAAATGTAAAGCCAAGATCCATTTCTGGAAAGACAACGGCTTAGACCCCCCCCCTTCGCATCCTGTGCAGTACGGAATGCCGGCCGGTCAAGCTTGCAGGTTCTAGTACCCATCAACAAGGACTTGAAGACTTGTTGGCCCAAAGAAACAAGTGCTTTTGATCATTCAATATTCTAAATGGTCTAAATGATTGATCTATAGTCTTAACATGTCTTAACATCATTAATACATGCACCGATTAACCGCGCCTGAGCACTTTCGTCCTGTTGATGCTTGAAGGAGAACTGCTGCCTCAAATGTCACGTCTGCACGCGACAGAATCAATCTCTACTCAGAAGCTCTTAGTGGTCTTCTCGTAGTGTTATTCTTTCCGGCATATGGATGCATATGGGCTGGTGTCTGGTGACACACCGCACCCGCCACGCCTTGTATCCCCCCAAAAAGATCCGAATACTGACGTTGTGTGGAACAGGACCTTGGGAAGCCCAATCGGATGAATATAGGTGGTCAGCAACCACGTGATTCTGGATGCTGTTCTGCAGTTCTCTTCAAGGCAACATCCGCTCCACAGATTGCTCGTGATTTTTGGCGTTGCGACATGCTCTTCTGTCAGGTTCTGATAGACCAAAAGGTTTTAAGGCCTGTTGGTCTCCGAGTCTCCCCCACGAAGCTCGTCAAGACCATATGAGTATAAAATACTATAAACTACTTGTGGTGCGTTAAGGACTGACAAACTCGCCACATTGTCCTGGCTCCAAGGCGCGCCAACTTCTCACCTCAAGTAGCGCAGGCGGACATTGTAGAACTCTGTACAGCCCAGTCCATGACATGGCAAACCTTAGAGGGAGTCCTTCGAAACACATGCCCCAATCAACGCATCTCAAAAAGCCTACAGTAGCCAGCACTTACAGCTTGGTACATAATCCCCGAGAACCCAGCAATCCCTCATCTGACATTGATTATATACTGCTTTCAGGTTGCTGGCCCCCAAAAAATAGGTATATACAAAACTCCCTGAGTCAAATCACAAAGACATACAGCTAGGCCCTTAGGTGTACACACTATACTGTACTGTACTGTATCATGTCCGTCTCAAACATGGGCGTCCGAACAAACCAGCGCAGACCAGCGCAGTCTGCAAAACAAAGGACATTTATGGAAATTTCGCCAGCTGCTGTCATTTTGGATCCCTACTTTCTGGCCTCCAACTTAATGATGTCAATTCATTGATTTCCGCATATTTCTGCTTGCCAAGCGGGATCCAATCCCTGATGTCGGGCCGCGCCGTTCAGCATCCACCCAGGGAATATGTGGATTGAGATGAACTGCCGCGTGCGCCGCAGGCTTCCATTCTGAATCTCCCTGCAAAAAGCTTGGACAGTGACACAACCAATAAAGAACTGCATGCTTCCGTTCTGGACCGTGTCAAGTGTCCTATCACATCCCAACACGTTGTGCTCTTTGCTCGCTTTGAGAAAGTCAATCAGGAAAGCTGTTCTCATGGGTTCTTCCTATTTGACATGCATCCTTGTTGTTAAATAGGACACACCAGGACACTAGGAGTTCCAGGAAAAAATGTCTTGTTTACCCCCAGTAAGTGGAACAGTTTCTATCCTCCAACAACCACCCGCTTTGGAACTCCTGGCAGTTTCATGTCAGAAACATGCTTTTGGAGTGACCCGATTACATCGGACCCAGATGGAGGGTGGATCAGTGGATGACGCGATGACATCGGACTCGCAGAAACCTCCATTGCCTTGGGATTGGGGACTTCGTTGAGAAGCTTCAACTCCAAGTACTCCTCGCCCAAAAACACCAAAAAGCCCAAAAGCTCCGGAGCGTTTTGGCCGTTTCACCTACAGTAAGCAATTCTATATTCCAAAGTGAGTTCAGCAGCAATATCATTGCCCTCTCCTGAAACATGTCATCTTCAGCCAGCTTGACTTTCCTTTGCATCTTCTGGTCATGAAAGAGGCGACAACTCATGTGCTCTTCATGTCAAAGCTTTGGAGAGCAGCATGGTGCACAAACAAAAATGATCTGTTGCAGCCTTTAGTGTGCTGGCAATCCACGGAAGTAATTCCGCTAATGCATACAAGTCTCAGGGACACAGTTTGCAACCAGTTGAATCCTTGGGGCAAGTCTTTCCGAAAGCCCTTGAAACGTTAGACCAAGCAAATCGAAAAACAGCTGTCCGTGTCCATCTATGCAGCGTGTGTCTCAATAGACTTTCAACCGAGGTGACGTGACCGTTCTGAGCTGTCTGATCAACATACACTTCGTTTACTGTCAAATCTGCGATGTTTTCCAAATCATTCTTGAGTCATTCAAGCTCATTCACTGCGCACAGTCAGTAACATGGCAAGCGGCTATTGTGCACCACGCGCTGTGATGGTTCTGACCAAGGCAATCACATCGGAACAATCAATGGAGACAATGCGGGTATTTGTCATATGCTCTGGACTCTGAATGCGCACAGTATGAGCAGTCCACGTTGGCCAACTGCCGGTTGCTGACACAAAATAGATTGCCGCCCTTTTGTTCTCCAGCCTGTGTGCTTGCATTTCTTTGGCATCGCACGATTATCGTCTTTTCGGCCCCAAGCCACTTCCAGGATGGGGTTCAGGGCATCAATACCACCTGAGAACGGATGGAAGCAACGTGCACAACTCCCCGATGCAAGTCCAAAATGACGCATGATTGTTTGGACACGTTTGAACCAAAAGAAAGCTTCATCACTAGACTTCGTCCTATATAATTATCTAATTGATATATGTTATGTAAGCAGTGCTTGAGGTTCGTTTCGAGATTTGCAACGCGAAGTGCACCGCCAAAAACAATCATGACTCACCATGACATCCTAAGACTCTCATTCAAAGGCGGCACAGGGAAGCTCTCTAATTAAAGCCGGGAAGGGCAAATACGGGGACAATTTCGGTGTGAGCATTGCAGCATGAGAAGTGAAGCTCCAAAGACAAAAATCAAAAGCTACTGTAATCACTGTTTCAACCTCGCCATTGAACATCTAAGCCACTGTCATGTCTCAAGCGTGCTCCAATGACAAAAAAATCAATGCGGCACTTTCTTGTCTTCGAGTCCATTCGCCTACATCGGTTGCGACTGGAAGATGCTGCACAAATCAAGGGGCAGTCATCGATTACATATAGACCTTGTTTACCCACGCCAACGCCTTCCGAAGTCCAAGAGCTCAACCGAACCACAACCATCACAACCCCTTTTCCAAGCTGGGGCTTCTCAGAGGGGGACTTCCCACCCTGTTGAAAACGATTTCGCACAAATGAAGTGATTCCTTTTCACACCGTTTCATCTGCAAAAGATTGCAGGCAAGGCAACACCTGAAGCCTTTTGAGTGCTTTAGAGCGGCTGCCAGAACTTATATCATTATAATAACACGCTGAGACACTCAGGCTGATGAGCTGGGTGTCTGAAAGAACGGACACTTGAAGGTTCATGTAAGTGCAATTGCCCCCAAACATTGAGCAACAGGGTGTCACCAAACAATACCTGTCACTCAGAGTTCGGAGCATGTCCGCTGCAAGCAATGCAGACTCGAATTCCGCCCCGCTGACTACCTGTCAATATGCCAAACGATTCATCCACCGACTGGTATGTTGAGACGGAGACGTGCACATAGAATTGAACATAGTGAACTCATTCATTTGAAGTTGTCATTCAATCAACTTTTGGTCTGGCTCAACTCAACAAGAGATGAATCGCTGACGCGGCCATACGAATTGAGCCGCAGTGACCTACTGCTTCTTGGCAGCAACTAAGTACGGTTGCGTTTTTCTTTTTGTGTGTGGTTTCTCCTCCCTCACGTTGCTGACCACATGGACAAGTGGACTACATGGACAGCACTCGGCCGAATCATATCATTCATGATTCAGGACTCAGCCCGCGCTTCAGTCCGAGCGGCTCGCCTGCCGAGAAATGTGAAGGACTCAGAATCAATCGCAATAATGTCGACTCTTGATTGATAAACCCCCCCTTTGAAAAGGATTTCCATTCAAGTGGGGGTATTAATCAAAAGTCTACATTACAGTTGTTGTTGGGAGTCCTCTGAAAATACACCAAACTCCAGACTTTTGTGATCGAACAAGTGTGGGGAAGCGAGGATCAACGTAGAAAGCAGCGAGGTCGCATGTTTGTTGTTCCATTTTTTGGGCAAGCAAATGGTCCGTAGGTCGTTTCTATGGACCATTTCGGTGAAAATATCAATCGAGACTGACATATCTTCTAACATGTTCGATTTTTAGAATGCACTGGACACCAAAAGAACAAACAGGATAAAAAGGTCCGCTGCTACAGCATGCTTGCAAGCATATGCTGTTGAAATGGGTGTGGGCACACCGTTCAGCATATCATCCGCAGCACGTTGGCCTGACTGATACGCTCCATGAACCGTGGCCGCCCACACCGGGCTGGTGTGCTCTCCTGCAAATGTGAGTGAAGCACTAACTGCCTGACTGAGAAGCCGCAACTCGTTCATTTCGGCGTTGAGGCCAGACGGAGTGGTATAACTTCCCTTTGCAAATGGGTCCGAGCCCCACTTTGTTCGAATGAATCGTGTCGGGTTGGGAGCACTTGGAAATTGCTGACGGATTCTGGACATGAAATCGGCCTGCACTTCTGCATCTGTCTTCTGTTCAGAAGCAATGGCATACCTCCCAACTGCAAAGCATTGGTGCCTTTCCAATTGCGGTTAGTGTTCATGAAGTACGGGAACATTCCCCGAGAGTCAATGCCGGCATTCTGCTTGTTGATGGCAAGCATGAGTTCGTTGTTGCACCCAGCAGACCAAAAGTCAGTGTCAAAAACGGCCACGGCTTTGTTCACAACACCAAATTGCATCCGTGCTATGGCAGCAGTGTACGAGGCAGGAAGTGATGGGGAGAATGTCACTGCATTGGCTTGCAGCACACCCAAAGGCACCGCCACAACTACAGCATCAGCGGTATAGTCGGCCATTGTCGAGCCACCGGTTTGGACAGTTTTCACACTCGCGTTGCAGGAAGGGCGCTCCCCTCCCTGGCTGAAACCCATACAGTAGTTGACCTGGGTCACTGTGGCGCTCGTCACAACTGTGCCGCCTGCAGCTTGAAATTGAGCGGTCAAGTTGTCAGTCAAGGTGTTGTAGCCATCGAAAATGAGCAGCTCTGGGCCAGGTCCAGCAGCATTCTGGCGTGCGTGGTGTCAATGCCGAAGCGTGAAGGGCCACTAATTATGTCAGAGCCACCATGCTGCTTGAAGGGTTTGGCCCAAAGTACTGGGTAGGTTAGACGTGAAGAAACAAAACGAACCAATCAATCTTTCCAACTTATGTCGAGTCACCGTGACTTCACTCTGGGCAATGTTCGCCGCGCTGACCAAATCCAAAGCAGAGCCCTCATTGAAATCCCAGCCCGCAAGACACATCTCCCCCTCCACAGTGTTAAAGAAAGTCGGATCATAGCTCCTAGCAGGATTGGTTGAGCCATTGATCAGCTTGGGGTTTACAACACAGACAGGCAACGAAAAGCGTGTGAAGAGAAAGGCAGGGCGACTTGAAGGGCCCGCTCAGAAGTGCAAGCGAAGCAGTTCTCAAGCATGATGTTTGCAAAGCACTCTGCGCGCGTGCGCGCACACACACACACACACACACTTGGATCCATGCTCGCAAGAGCTCTATCAGTTATGAAAATCCGGACGCATTAGCCCTTTACGTGAATACCTAGCCCTTGACTTGCAAAAACGGTAAGGCGAAAAGGGTCCGAAGAACAGAACTGTTTTACAAACTCACTAATTAGCACTTTACAGGAAAATTGGAGTAACAGCTTGGTCAACATGTCAAACAAGTGATTGCAGGTACAAGATGCTGCGTCCAGTATCTCATCCAACCGAACACCACAGCTTTGTTAGCACGGCTAGGTGCACGGTCGCCGTGCCCCCTGCTGAACTGTACAAATGTTTAAGTGTGACAAAGCTCCTTGGAAACAGGAGTTGACACACACACACACAAACACACATAGATAGGGAGTGCTCTCGAGAAATATGCTTGAACACATGATCAGCCAGCCTCTATTGCACCGATTAAACTTTTATAGTGGGAGTCTGCTTCAGCATAGTCGCGAACACCCAATAGACCACAAAGAATAGAATGGGAATGCAGTACATACATACACCACATATCAACAAATCACGGCACCTCTTGTACCCTTACTTAGCATGTGATCGCCTCATGATGTGGCCGTCTGTGATCGATTTCCGTGGAACCCTGACACCTCAAGGCTGCCTCCAGGGTGCCAGTGGTGGGTACAGCTGCAGATTCATCGGCATCCCAGCAATAGTCTTCCCAGCTACTCACCTCTGATGGCGAGTACTTGTAGCCATCAGTGTCATAACCTTGCACGCCGAATTCCAAATGCGAAACATCTTCATGAGAAGTCACAGTTTTTAATAAATCGATCAATCGAGGTCGGGACCGAGGATACAAGGGCAGCATGCGAGGACACTGCAACTGTACTTTGCTAGGTTTGAACCTGCCTCTTGCTATGCCTCTCTATCCTCACCAAAGAAAAATGGGACTGATACTCCAAAGTCCTGGTCACGACACTTCTGTCCATCTGCATCGCTCACGGTTGCAATGCCGAATTCTGCCAGAAAAGGCGTCAAAGGGTTTTGAGGACCTGCCCCATGAATCCAGCTGGCGCCAAGGTCAGTGGGGAAGCCCAATTCATGGCTCGTCCACGTACGGCCACCGATGCGATCTCTTCCCTCCAAAAGGGTGACACTGTGGCCGTTGTCTTGGAGCTTCTTTGCTGCACTCAGGCCGCCCATCCCGGCCCCGACCACAATCACATCCAAGGCCGAAGCCGTCATCAAGACACTTGCAAGCACAAGCTGCTGCCCCATGGCCGAACAAAGTCCGAGCACCTTAAAACTTCAATGCGGCTTCCCTAAATGAGAACAAACCAATGGCTACGGAGATGCCCTGCTCCATAGCTGCTGCGCCAAACAACCGGTGAACAATTTAAGGTAAAGTGACGTGCACCGTCACTTGGCTAATCTCTCCCTAATCCCGATATATATATATAGTTATAAGACTATTTATGTTATATCTATCTATCTATGTATATGTTGCTGCAACATGCTGCAACTCCTCTTGTTTAGTCTTGATTTCGCTCCGTGCTGAGCTTGCAGTTTCTGGAGCAATGAGCCCGCTCCTGAAAGTCAGGCTGAAACGAAAACACACTTTGTGGCCTTCATATTGCAACAGTCTGTGGTGCTGCTATTCTTGCAGGGGTTTGTCTTGGTTTGTCCCATTCACTTAGCAACAACTGTATACTGTACAGTGTCGCATTGTAAACTCCAGGTTGCCAAGCAAGAGCTGTTGACGCAAGTCGCCTCGCTCATTTTCCGTCGTGGGTTCCGTAGGGCCAGTTTCTGGCCCGGCCAGTGGGGTTTGTGAGCTCTGCTGCCCTGATACCTTACAGTGCCTGGGTAGCAGCAAACAGGAAAAGAAAATTGTCTAGAGTTTGCACTCTCAAAAAGCTCATGACACCTTATAGTGCCTGGGAAACAGCAACAAGGACCAACAAGAAAAAACAAGGGTGTCTAGAGTCAGCACTTGCAGAAGCTGACGCACCGTTCAGAATGTCATCAGCGGCGCGTTGGCCAGACTGATATGCTCCATGAACCGTGGCCGCCCACACCGGGCTGGTGTGCTCTCCTGCAAATGTGAGTGAAGCACTAACTGCCTGACTGAGAAGCCGCAACTCGTTCATTTCCATGTTGATGCCTGCATCCGTGGTATAACTTCCCTTTGCAAATGGGTCCGAGCCCCACTTTGATCGAATGAATCGTGTCGGGTTGGGAGCACTTGGAAATTGCTGACGGATTCTGGACATGAAATCGGCCTGCACTTCTGCATCTGTCTTCTGTTCAGAAGCAATGGCATACCTCCCAACTGCAAAGCCCAGCAAAGCATTCTTTCCTGGCCACACACGATTGGTGTTCATGAAGTACGGGAACATTCCCCGAGAGTCAATGGTGGCATTCTGCTTGTTGATGGCAAGCATGAGTTCGTTGTTGCACCCAGCAGACCAAAAGTCAGTGTCGAAAACTGCCACGGCTTTGTTCACAACACCAAACTGCATCCGTGCTATGGCAGCAGTGTACGAGGCAGGAAGTGATGGGGAGAATGTCACTGCATTGGCTTGCAGCACACCCAAAGGCACAGCCACAACTACAGCATCAGCGGTATAGTCGGCCATTGTCGAGCCACCGGTTTGGACAGTTTTCACACTCGCGTTGCAGGAAGGGCGCTCTCCTCCCTGGCTGAAACCCATACAGTAGTTGACCTGGGTCACTGTGGCGCTCGTCACAACTGTGCCGCCTGCAGCTTGAAATTGAGCGGTCAAGTTGTCAGTCAAGGTGTTGTAGCCGTCAAGGAAAATGAGTTCTGGTCCACCAGTTTCCTTGGCCAAGCAGGTTGTCACACACCCGCTGTCAGTAGACGTCTGTTGAGATCGATATAACCCACAATAACACACACATGTACATTACCTCCATAGTACATGTAGTGAATACACATATATATATATATATATGTGTGTGTGTAAGACGTGTAATATAAATATAAATATAAGTAAATCAAGAAAGACACAAACAAACAACTTATTCAACTTGCTCCAAATTTCCCTGATCTCGCTGTATGGTATGTTCGCAACGCTGATTTTGTCAATTGTCGAGCCTTGATTGAAATCTCGGGTAGCCAAACACATCTCCCCCTCCACGGTGCTGAAAAAAGCCGGATCATAGCCCCTTTCAGGGATCAACTTGATTCACCATCAGCATCATCAGCCGGGACAACAATTACAGCAATCAGCCTCAACACTTCATCGTTCCATATTCCTAAAGGAAAAGAGAAAGGGTCTAAAGATCTTAAATTATCTTTAAGAACACAGTCAACACCACATCACGAAAAATAGAAAAGAACACAGGCAAGTTCAACGATCGAAGGCCTCAAAACACTCTCCAAAGTGCCCGTGGTGGAACCATACCCTGACGACTCAGCGCCCCAGCAATAGCTTTCATAGTTAGCAAGCTCCCCTGCTCCGTACTTGTAACCGTCCTTGTCATATCCTCACAAAGAATGCAATACACTCACGGTCTCACGAAGCATCTCAAGATTGAGGAGACATGAATCGACACCTTTTTGGGAATTGAATGACATATAATTATTACGTTCATGTCTTCTGCAGGGCATGGTAGTTTACTTGACTTGCCAGGCAGGTTGCGACAATTCTGCTCATCTGGATCATCTACTGTGGCAATGCCAAATTCAGTCACAAAGGGTGTCAAAGGGTTTTGAGCACTTGCCCCATGAATCCAGCTGGCGCCAAGGTCAGTGGGGAAGCCCAATTCATGGCTCGTCCACGTACGGCCACCGATGCGATCTCTTCCCTCCAAAAGGGTGACACTGTGGCCGTTGTCTTGGAGCTTCTTTGCTGCACTCAGGCCGCCCATCCCGGCCCCGACCACAATCACATCCAAGGCCGAAGCCGTCATCAAGACACTTGCAAGCACAAGCTGCTGCCCCATGGCCGAACAAAGTAATGCGGCTTCCCTAAATGAGAACAAACCAATGGCTACGGAGATGCCCTGCTCCATAGCTGCTGTGCCAAACAACCGGTGAACAATTTAAGGTAAAGTGACGTGCACCGTCACTTGGCTAATCTCTCCCTAATCCCGAAATATATATATAGTTATAAGACTATTTATGTTATATCTATCTATCTATCTATCTATCTATCTATACATGTTGCTGCAACATGCTGCAACTCCTCTTGTTTAGTCTTGATTTCGCTCCGTGCTGAGCTGCAGTTAATATTCGCTCCTCTTGTATCACACATATATATATATACATGTCGTTAATATTCATGAATACTAATCAGTGAACATGGCTATTAAACAAAAAAAGCAATTAAACAACCATTGCACACAGGGAACCATGTGTATAGTATCTATATAACGGAGGGAACTTGTGATTTGAACAATCAAAAGGTACACACAGTACACACATCACAAAACACGCAAAATAGTAACTATATATATGAACATGGACAGCCAGCCCCAGCCTATAAGGAAGCACAGGAAGCACAAACCTTGGACTGTCTTGGACAAGAGAACAATGCGTGGCCTTCAAAACCATTGCGGTCCAAAAAGTACTGCAGGCTAAGGGCATTATTACTAGTAACAAGAAGGAAGCTACTAGGTTGGAGGCCATCGCTATTGGATTGGAGGCCATCGC